GGATCCCCAAAGGATCCCCAAAGGATCCCCAAAGGATCCCCAAAGGATCCCCAAAGGATCCCCAAAGGATCCCAAAGGAGCAAAGTCCAACACTGAAAGGCCCCCCTTTGAAACCCTTTTACTTAGACCGTCGTCAGGCGTCACTACCGTTTTACCTGAAAAGACCAAGTCAAGGCCTGAAGAACCATGTCGCCCCACAAAAGGCCCGGCCTCCATGCTCACATATCTTTGGCATCGCTCAAAGAGAGAACCAGAGGTGAAACTACCAAACGGTAAGTCTAATAAGATGTTCTGCTTGACTAGAATAGAAACAATAAGCTGCTAGGAACAAGTGCATCGCTACTAGTAACAAGAGCCTTACTACTAGTAACAAGAAGCTATTAGAAACTGCTTTCCACTGCGAGTCCTGTGTTTGCTACGAAGACGGCTCTAAAGGTCAGGACATAATGGTGCCAGTGCCAAGAAGGTTTCCCAGAGACTGAGATTAGCTCAATTTACTTGCCAATCTCTGCCAGCAGCATCTGTTAACGACCTTAAACATCTTAAACCAAATCCGACAAGGTACCCTCCCACCAAAAAGTCGTCCACCGCTCCCAGGCTGGTTTGGAAAACGACTTTGCTGCTTGGAACTTCAAGCTTTGGGAAGAAACCGCCACGTTCAACACTGCATGATGCGTATGGTGGGAGCCAAATTGGTCGGGCGGCGGAATCTGAGCAGCAATGCGGCATCCCTTGTTTGCTGGTTTCGGGTGACAAAACAGGTTTTTCACCTCAGGGCATGGGATCTTCTGTGAACATTGTGAACTGTGCAGAGGTTTGGGACCCATATCATCCTCCAGCCCCATGTCCTACGCGATGGCCTATGGACCAACAAAAAATCCGCGGGGCATGAGATGAACACTCGGCACCTTCTGTCCGGTTGGAACCAGTGGCAAACGGACCAACCTCACCTCACATCTGCACCAAAACACCTACTTTTGAAAACGCATGTAAAACATTGTAAGAACTGATCCACAAGTGGACGACAGCAATGTGCATCACAACATCCCTTCCTCTCCAACATGTTCCAGTTGTTAGCATCCAGCTGTGTTCCTATAGTTCTTCCTTTGCGCTCGACAGGACATGGGATGAGGTGGGACATCTCCTTTAGAGCGCGTTGAAGATCATTTGCCTGCGCCGGTTTAACAAGCTTTGCGTCTTGGCCAACAACAGCCACTCAGCACGCCGCGTCATGCACATGGGGCCATATTGGCACAGGTTAACCTTTGGAATGATAATATGTGAAATGATAATTGTTGAAACTTGGGGTGGTGAACAGCACTGTCAAGAAAGCCATAAACAAATGCTCTTCCTGTTGGGGATCATTTTGGAGTGTTGATGTTAGTTTCATACAGTTTGATGACTTGCAACTTTGACCATGTCAGTCAATCAGGCCTGCAAGCGGAGAAGTTGCGCCTCCTTCTTCCACCCATCGCGCCTCAGGCATCGAACAGATCATTCGGCAGTGATCCTAGAACAAGGATCATCGTAATCTAGGATCACAATCTAGGATCACTGCCTAATGATCACAATCCTAGAACAAGGAACATCAATGATCTAGGCGCATCATCATGTGTTGCACACTTTCGGAGTTGCCAATGGATTTCACACTCTTGTGACTCTTGATTCCCACAAAAATGAGACTCGACAATGCAGCACTGCACGGGAAACGGCACTGTCGAGGAGCATTTAAGGCTCTTCCAAAACCGTCATGTTACAGAAGCAAGAAATCACATGTTAAAAGCCTGCACCTCTACCGGCTATTCATGCTTTCAACGGGTGTTGTCAAATGTTGTCAACTGATCGCCTTCCCAAAAGACGAGCCAGTCCGCTGGCAAGTCGGATCCCCACTGAGGTGTCCACTCAGCCTTCAAATCATCCAACGTCTCTTGATGAAACCTAGGAACACACCGCGTCAAATCTAATTACCCATCATCTTGCCTCTGCACAAAACGGCTTGCAAACGATGCTGACATCCCTGCAGGTTGAAAACGGAAGCAACGTAGGTTCGAAAGTGATCACTGGGAAGCCGACAGTGCATACTCCATCATGCACTGCTCACGTTCTTTGGCAACCTGGGCAGGTGCAATGTAGCGAAGGATATCCCACATTCAAAATCATTCAAATGTCTGTTCTGGTACCGTGCTTGTGATTGATGCAAATTTGACACTATTCTGATTTCAGCCTAATACTGGCAACAATGGGAACCATTCTAATTGGTAATAGGACGTAACAAGCAATGGATTTGTTCGGCACATTATGGCACATTCGTCACAATCGTGCAAGCAGGGAAGCAGAATAATTGAACAGTCCATTCAGAGAGTGACACACCAGGTTGCTAAAATGACTAATGGCTCGTGCACTTTGGATTAGGTTGCCATGGTTTATCATCCCAGTTCTGTGAGTCAGTCAAACATAGTCATATAGTCAGACCCCACCAGATCACCTGGATTTGGCACGGTGCAAGTCAAAAAAGTGCTGACAAATCATTTAGCCAATCTCCAATCTGAGGTGCTCTCAAAATGGCTGCCATCTGTGAGAGGGCCGTGTGCATGGCGGGGAAGTGCCGCCTCTCCATACCCTGTGGGCGAAAGATGTTCAGCATTCACTCGCACCCCACCTTCTGACAACGCGTTTCTGCATCTAGCATCAATCCAATACCCTCTTCTCCGGCTCTTAGATGGCAATCCCGATGGCAATGTTGTAAAGTTGTAAAGCCAGTCATTGAATCATTGAAGGGATGAGTATGTTCCGAAGCGTAACAAGTGAACATCAAAAGCACAAAGAGCCCAAAATGTGGGCATTTCCATCACGAGCGTCCCAAAACCACGACACCCCGGTGGGGGATTACCCGTGAACTAGGACAACAAATGACACAGGGAGGTCATGTGCGGTGCAGGGACCTGGTACATATGTTGCATGAACCTGTTGCACCGGCTGATTTGTTGTATGCAGAACGGTGCCATCAGGAACACCTGTTCTTTCCTCAGATGACGTACATTGAACAATATTGACCTCATTCCAATTCCACAAAAACACCTATGCCTATATAAATGGAACATCTTTGATAGACGGTCTGTAACTTATATGAAGTGTCCGTCCGTTCAATTCCGTGTTGATTGATGTTGACTCACCGTTCAGCTCCGCGTCTGCGTCTTCCGCAATCTTTCGCACCTTGTGTTGGGAGTGCCAAACCGGCCAAGCATGATGTGGCGCATCGAGAACGTCCTCCGCCGACCTGTGGGATGAAGAATGTGGCACCGGTGTTCCCTCAAAGAGCTGTGGATGAATCTCTATTATTCATGACTGAAGGAGTACACTGAGTACGCAATGAATGAGTATATCGTATCGGATGTCAAGATTTGCTCTCTGATGGATCAACTGGTCGGTGAGGCAGCTGTTTCCTCAAAAAACATCACAATGGTTATATGTCTATAAGCGACATTGTGTTCTCCACTGTGGTTTGGAAGCATATCTGAGGTGATATATGGTGGCAGGAAACAAAAACACACCTCTCGCCAAAGGGTGTTGACAAAGCACACACCATGTTGAAATCCTAAACCATCTTTGCTCAAAAGTGCAAAATGGCGAGCCTGGACGGCTGTGGCTCATGGTGAGAACGCACATCTGCTACATCTGACCTCAGATGCAGCAAGGTCTGAACTCATGCGGATTCCGTGTGAGCTTCGTTTGATAACCCACTGTGCAAATATTCCCTTCAGCGTGAGATGAACTGGGCTGCCAAAGAAGAACCCCTCTTCTCTGGATCATGCTAGAAAACACCAAAAAACGCTTGACAACACCAGAATTTGAACACACAGTGCGATTTCCCAAACACTAAGCTAGGACATATTTGGACCGTAGGTGTCTTCTGAACACCGAGGGGCAGCTCCACAGGTTCCACAGTTTCTGCTGCCTCGGTCGGCGATGATGGCGGTCTTCAGTCTGTCGGGGACGGGGTCTCAGGAAACTCAAAAAAACAATAAACAGAACCTGGATGATGAAAACACTTTTATACTTCAGTCCGGATGGGAACAGTTTCCAACGGTCCTTGGTGTGAAGCGTTGTTCAAGTCTGACACGGCCGGTGTTGGAGAACAAGAACTTCCAACTGCATAAAACCACGTAAGCTGCTTCATGAGCTACTTTGCAAAATAAAAAGTAAGTGTCCACTTATGTTGCAGGTTGGTAGTGCCACGCTCAACTGCACGCACTCCTTTTCAGGAACTTGGCCGATTTTTTTCCAGCCGGGGTATCTTCGTAGCCTGTCAGGTTCCACTCTTAAGGCTCCATTTTCACCACCCCCATTGTCGCGGCATGGTTCTAGTTCGTGGCTCTCTATCGCGCTAATCTTGGCATTGATCCTTCCCCACAGCATAGCATTTTGTTCTTGTTCAAGCTGTAAGATTCTTGCTCTTCCGGTGTTGTCCGTTGAGCTTCGGCTTCGAAGTCCTCTGGAAGCTGGGCCTCTCGAAGGCACTGCACCTAGCGTTATGATGTGCATTAAAGCTAGTTCTGATGACACGACCAAAAATAAACAGTACATAAACAATGCAAAACAAATGCAAATCCAATGCTGCAAAATGCGTTGGAATGCAAAAAATGCGAAAAAAACCATTTGTCCACTAAACAAATCCAAAAAAAGGCCCAACAAATGCAACAACAATGCACCAAAAAAACAAAAAATGCAACAAAACATGCACAAAACATGCAAAACAAATGCAATCAAAAAGCAAAACAAATGCGATCAAAAACGTTCTAGTCTTTGCCCTTGCATGTTTTGCTTTGTATTTGCGTGTTGTTTGCATTTTTTGTGCGTTTGCCTTGAGGAAACGCAAAAAAATCGGAAAATACAACAAATTGCAAAAACAAATCGCACATAAAACGCACAAACATCGAAAAAAGAAATCGCGCAAAAAAGGTGGTGTGTAAAATTTGGTCGCGCGTGTGCATTTTTTGTGCGGTTTGTTCGCTTTTGTTTTGCGTTTTTAAAACGGTTGTTTTGCGTTTTGTTTGTTTTTTTTTGGCTTCCTTTTGCCAATTTTGTGCTTTTGTATACGCACTCGTTTTGACCAGCTGCCTTTTTCATGCCTTTTATTTGTATTTCCTGGTCATCATTTCTGAGTGCGGCTTTGCGTTTTTCTGCTTTTTTTTAAATGATTCCTTGAGATTTCAGAGTTAGGCTGTTTGGCACATCATAAACCTGGCGTCGCTGCTATCAACATTGTACTGCCCACCTTTGCTCTATTTTGCGGTGTTGCCATGTGAAATGAAAGCATACGCTCTCCTTTGTGTGCGGTCAACTGACTCTTCCTCAAGGTCAAATTCTCTCTCCTCACCTCGTTTCCTTAAGTCTGACCCATTCTGATCTTGTTCAACAATCCTCTGTTCCAGCTGCCTGGTCTCGTAACCACTGGCTGCGAGCCCTCAAGAAAAATTCACTTTCCCCACACACTTCGCCGTCGTGCTGACGATTGAAGACATGTTCCTCCTTTCTTCTAGCGATCATAGTTTTGCATTTGTCACCCTGCCTCTCCAGCGTTCTTCCTTTGCTCGCCCTTGCAATACCAGATCAGTTGTTGAAACCTTTCTGCTTTGCACACGCAACTTCCCATCTAGGCGTCTGATCTTTTCAACTCCTCTCTGACTCCTCTCTTGGCTATCAATGGCCGCGCGCTCGAAAGAGTCCGTGAAAGGAAAGCGGTTCACCTTGGCCAATAAATCAAGTCAAACACTGATCTGATTTAGACGCCATCTGTTTCTGTGCAGCTGCTTACACGGTTGCGCCCAACTCAGATTCACATAGTGAAAGACTCACAAGACCCTCTGCATTCAACTTGTAGTGAGAAGCGACTCTCATTATCTCTCATTCAAGCCACAAACTGCCCCAGACGCTGATCTGCGGTGACTTGTCCCCACCCCCATCTGGCCACTTTTCTCCCAAATCCATCACCTGGGTTTGAGAAATTTAACCACACGTATCCAAGAAGTTCCTTCAGTTAGTTCAAAGCCTTTATGGTTGGGTTCGACTTCGACATCTTTGCTACTAGGTCCTTGATCGCGAAGGTGACGTTACAACTCCCCTGAGCAAGCACACGCTTGATCCAACCACCTGCCTGTAAAAGGGAGCCAATGGGTTCACGACCACTTCTGACTTTTCCTCCCGCTGGATAGATTTGTCAACTGGACTGAAATGCGATTGGGTCAACCTTTTCTCCGCACATCTGGATCACCATACCCTCTGGATTCAGATATACGCTCACAAAGCCGATCTTGTCAGGTTGCGTCAAAACGCTTTTGGTAGGACCAAGCTCCCCTCTTGGGCTGGCGCCCTTGCTCTGCCGTCTGCGCCACATACTCTCTTCCCTCAAGACAACTCTCAAGGGTTCTCTTGTTTTTAGACCTGGAGAAATGCGTCTCTTCTTCTCTCCTCCGCACCCTTCCCTCCTCATCCTCACATCGACGGCAGAAACACCGCTGACAGGACCTCTGAAACATGCTCCGAAGTTGCAGCTGAGAAGATGTCTCTCTTCTTGTCTGTAAACACAAAGCTTTGCGCAACAAATCTTAATCGACATTTCTACCTCCTCACTGTTGCGCCATCGGCGCCATCTGTACATACGGCTTTCATCTGCAGCGCAAGCCATTGACGGCTCTGCGCAGCGTCCGTCCGCATTGTGTCCAGGAACCTTGCCGCAGGCGATCCACTGCGCATAGAACTCATTGAACTTGCCTGCGAAGTGGATAGCCACGGCCACGCACTGGCCTCTCACCTTTGATGCGGCACCCACACAGTCACGCCACGATGCCTGCGGCCCTGCATCACCTGCCCATCTTTCCATACGCCCACGCGCATCATGCAGGATGCGCATCTGCCTTGCTGCATTTGCTCCCAACAGCGCACCAAACTACCTTGTTGCTGAGTGACCAGGACGCTGGCGCACCCATGGCGACCGGTGCCTGTTGGCGGGTCCTCTCGCAAGCCATAATCAACACCGCGCTGGTGGCTGCCACCAACAAAGTCCACGCCGCCGTCAACCCTCAATGCTTAGCGCGCCAACAATGTTGCGCAATGCTCCACTGTACGCATTGAACTTCCTGTCCCGTGTCGGATGAGATGGCGCGGTCCTGTACTCAAAACCGAAAGCATTAACAAACATCTGCGCGAATATACTAGAGATACCTATGGGTTTATTGACATGTCAACATGAGCCTCCACTCCCTGTCAAACTGCAGTAGCCAACAAGGCCTCAATATGCTGTCTGCATGCAAAATTTCAGCAAATTCACGTGTGGTCTTACGAAGCCTGCCAGGGCCATGTATAGCCAGAAACCCATGCACAAAAGAAATCAAATCATGCGCGCAAGAGCTCCAACATAGGTTCTCTGAAGCACCAACAATCATGCTTAGCATGTGGCGGTAGCTGCCACTGACGCATCTTCTTGCTGCTTCCTGAAACTTCAAGAACAATCCAGAGTTGCATGGCTTGGCCACCGTTTTGAAACAATCTCTGCCAGAAGGTCTTCTCACACCTGCAAAGAAAATGCTCCAAAAAATATCGGGTTTGACACCTGAGCTTGAAGTGTGCTGTCTGTTTTGGCTGGGGCTCCAGAATGGGCCATAAAGAATTCCTCCACGTTCCCATGAAAAACGTTCATATTGGTTTCCTTTTAATTCCTAAGTATCACTTATTAAACAGGAGTTCTATGGGGGGGATGGGAGGGTTACTAATCAAGAGTCAACATTAATAGTCAAAACAAAAGAAAGAAACCGAGCTGTAAGACTCTTGACATAGTGGGTCTGGTGGGTCTCATGGTGGGTCTTGTGGTCACTGATCGTCCTCAAGCGCTCCAGCTCAGCCTGCTGTTGTGCCCGCAAGGCCTGCAACAAAAGTGTGTTGCTTTAAGCCAGAGAAACACCCCACAAAATGCATTGAAATATATCAACAGTGGCTTTGAGGGGGAGACTCCCAAATTCTGACCTAATTTAGAAGGCTGATCCGATGTAGAAGATCCACCTTGTAGCCCTGGGACAGTGAACCTCCTGCAAATACCATTATCGTCAGCAAAATATTACCCAAAATCAGCTGGAATCAGACGCTCTGATAAAACCATGCCAAAAGGATCCAAAAGGATTGTTTTGCATGCAATTGCATGACGAAGTTGGGTGGGGGATGCGGTTGCAACAAATTAAGCATCTGGATATATCGGCCTCCATTTGCTCTTGCTGCTGTCTCTGGAGCTCCAGTTGTTGTTCTTGAAGTTTCCTCGAACGAACGCCCCGCCACAGGCCAAAAGCAAAGAATTTTTGTTGTCGTGGGCGGCCGCGGCCCCCGCCCCTGCCTCCGAAAGCAACGGAAACAGCACGGCAGCGCGACAACAGAAAGACCAGAGGACAAAAGGATGAAGGAAGGAAAACAACACGAACACACCAAGAGGACCATAGAAGGACAAGCTGTGACCGGAAAACGCCAAAAGGACAACATGATCGAGGGGAGCATGGTAGGACAAGACGATGATGGGAGGAGCACGGCCGGAGATAGGCTGGCAGCCACGGCCAATGAAGACCCGAAGAAGGACAACAAGAAGGCAATAGAGTAGATGAGGGGGACAGGACCGAAAAATTCGCGACAAGGGGAGAAGAGGAGGACATCTGGGCTCGCCAGCGCGGCCTGACACCGTGGCCAACTTGTATTCCTAGGAGAGAAACAGAGAACCCCGCAAGAAGAGGGCACCAGGAGGACAAGGAGAGGACATCGGTTTCTGGGGTTGCTCTGGAGTTATTGTCTTTCTAGCGCCTCACCGCTTTGCAGCGCACGATAGCATGTTGTCATGTTTACACGCTGACAGGCTGCCACGTGGCCATGCTGCGGTACTGCGGTCTTCGCGTTTGCCAGCTGGCGCTTTCCCACTAGGTGTGAAATTGATTTCTCGCATTGGACCCTTTGATTGCGCTTGGTGCTGTCATGTCTTCATGCTGCCATGCTGTCATCTGGAATCTGGACACCAGCAGAAGGACAACAGGAGGACAAGAAGAGGACAACAGGAGGACAAGCAGATGACAACAAGAGAAGAGGACAAGAGGAGGAAAAGACAGAGGACAAAAAGATGACGGTCAAGCTGCACAACAGAAGAAGGACAAGAAGAGGACAACAGGCGGACAACGAAATGGACAACAATTCAGACAAGTGGCAAGTGCCTATTTGTGGCTACTTGGGAACAATATGTGTTGTGCTTGACCAACACTTTATGCTGAACCCTGGCCAGCCAAGAAACGAAAAACAATATTGATTGAGGACGGTAGAGACCTGTGGATTCTACTGTGCGTGTCTTGTCTGACTATCAGCATCTCAACTTCAACAGTCTTGATGTTTCAACTCACCCAAAGGCTCTCAACCCCCACGCACAATATTTCATCAATTAATTTGTTGTGCCCTGCAAAGATTTGTGTGGATAGTTTCTACGGAAGCGTTGCAATCAATTGTATCTGAACAAACGATGTGAAATGTAAAATGGAGATCATGGCTCTTGTTGTTGTTCCAATATGATCGGGGAAGAGAGGAGGTTGATGCTGAAATTCCCGCCGTCGCCATCTGTTCATCTCCCGTCTCAAGCAAACTTCTTCAGCAAGCTTCTGCAGCATCTGTTGCTGCTGTTGCTGCGCATCTTCATGCTTGCCACGGATGCTCTCGATTTCCTGACGCAAGGCGTTCTGCCAACGGTGCCAACGAGCAACAAGTATGCCAACGGTGCCCACACTGATTTCCCTGTCATCCACACCCGCCCGCAACTGTACCTGCTGCAGATCCTATACATGTCCCCCGACCAATTTGAGGCCATGGCCTGCTGAGCCTTCTCTTGCGCTAAGCGCTGACTTTCCAATTGCAGTTCCTGCTCTTTGGCGCGCCTTGCGCCGCTTGTGCTCAGCAGGACTCAACAAAGACCCCTGCCCAACTACAGCCCTATCCAAATCCAAGTGATCCAAGCACTCCATGCCGGGAAACATCAAAAGACAGTATATATCACATCATAACGAACTCTATTTATGCCACCATGCGGGCAAACGGGTGCTCCAAAAATGTTGGTGATCCATGCTGGTGAAACGCCTTTCGTCGTGGCATTTGTGGATGATAAGGCCTGCTTACCAATGCCAACAAACTGAAAAACGATCGCTCAGCTTAGCCTCAAACAAATGCGCTACAAGTACAAAAAGAATCGGAACTTCATGCATACACATCCGGCAACAAGAAATGAAGGCAGCTAGCACAACTACAGCTTTCCGAGAAAATGCTTGTGAGTCATGTCATGTCATATCAAATTAGCTAAATCATTGGTGGGACGGCCGAAGGTTTTTGAATGGCCATCGCAGAAGGGCGCCGGCCCAGAAAAGGAGCTGAGCAGCCCCCCCGGTCTGCGGCCCAGGGGCAACTTCTCGGCTTCCAGCTTTTGCTCCATGAGAAGTTTCATCTCCTCAAGGCGAAAACTCCGTCCGCCTTTGGGAATCTACTTGATTCCCACGCGATCGAAAACGCAAAACAGGAAAAAAACTGAAGATCATGTAGGTAATGGGAGGCTCAGGAATCTTTAGATGAAAATATGTTTCAATCCTCTGGCAGGTGTGAAAGGTTAAGAACCTGACGTGCATTGCAACATATCAACATGTGCTAGAAAACAAATGTTCAAGATGGTCTGAAACCTAGACACCCGACTGCTACTTTCAAAGTGAACACCACACCAATTTCTCAAAGCATCGCAAAACCACTCGAAGAAAATACGGAGGTACTGAATCGTGAACATTGTATAACATAGCATTCCAGTACTTCAACAAATTCCGGTCTGTTTGATCGTCTTATATCTTCTTATGACGTTTGAAGTTCCCTTAGATTCCCACCAGTGTGTCAAGCTGACATCCATCAGAGCAATGGGAGCCATAGACCAAGGCTCTGATTTGGTGCCCTCCAGGTGTTGTGCTCCAACCTGCAACTCTTCCAGCCTCAGAGTCGACGCCGACACAGAGCCGACCCCGGCTTTGTCCCCAGGCTCAGTGTAGGGGCTTTGACAACCCAATAAGTCTTCATGAGATGTATATGTTTTAATATATATATATACACATAACATATATATAGTGCGTTCCAAAGTCTTGACGTTGGCCGAAGTACCGTCGGCATTGTTTCAGCAATGGTCTTCCCAATAGTCTTGACATTTAGGAAACAGCTGTTTCACCGTTCAGTTGACATCTGGCATGTTCGCTTTAGCATGCCCATGTGACAGTCGTTTGCAGGCCAAATTGTGTTTGTTTGCCTGTTGTCTTAACAATTCAGCAAACACTATCTTAAAAAGTCCTTCATGCCATGACTCTGGGGAAAAAGCTGAGTCGGAGTGTGCTTTGGATAGTTTTAAGCTTTAGTCTTAGCACCAAACTGGCGTTCAGGCACAGAGAATTCTCTTTCATCACTGTCTTGTCCGTATGCTAAAATCCTATGTTGGGCCTGTTTGGAGCTTTGAATAGTCGGTTCAGCCATAGTCTTGACACCATGGTAGACCATGGGATCACAATCCCTCTGCACCAGCTGATCATCAATCCCTGTAAAAATAATTGTTTTTTGATGCAAAAACACTGTTCTTGTGGGGGGTTAGGCTGCAGTCTTGACATGTAAAATGCATTTTAACATGCACGCTTTCACCAGGGTCTTGACATACAAAAATCCCGGTATACATGCTCCAAATGCCTAGTCTTTGGAACCGACTATAATACATATATATTATGTTTCCACAAACTTACCTACACAAAAGAGCGCAAAAGTATCTCGCACATCTGTTACGTTCTTTTTCTCTCAAATGACTTGAGTTTCGTCCTGAGGTTGGAGAGCATCTGTGGCATCGTTGAACCACGGTAGCTCTGCATCGACTTTGAGGGACTTTCTCTGCCCGAGCGCCAGCAGCTTCTGCAAGTCTAGCCTCTGTAGGTTCTGATTCCTGGAGTGCCTCCAGTAAACAAGGCGATTCACATGGTCATAGATCACGCCCCATTGTGTGTGATCAGATGTCCCCTCACCAGAATGCTTTCCAGAATCTGTACCCAATTGCAGGCCCATTGGTACAGTGACAGTATTCAGCACATGTACGGCCTGCATCATTGCTTCCTGGTAGTCCGTGGGCTTTGGCATACCCCTCTTTACCAGGAAGATGCGCTGAAATCGCTCATCTGGATACCAGCTTCCAGGCATGCTCACAGCCGTCCGAGCCAGGGACTCCTTCCACTGCAGGTGCTTCACAGCTTGCAAGTGCCACTGGTAAGACGGCTCATTGGTCATGATGCCAAAGCCGCTCTCCCCATCATTGGGGTCCCTGTAAGTCTTCAACTGACCATCAAGGAACTCCACCACAATGCCCTGATGGGCATCGCGCAAGACCCAATGAAGGCCTCCAAAGAATGCCTCTGGGCCCTTGGGCCGGGTGAACTTGCTTCGCTGCAGTCCAACTTCCAAGTCATGCAGGTTGCCAAAGCTTTCCAGTGCCCATCGACAAAGATGCAAAGCATCTAGTGCATCCGGTGCATCAAATGATATGTTGGGGTACTCTGTGCCTAGGAGGGTTTGTGCATCACAGCTGAGGCCGGCATCGTTAATTCCAGCAAAGAGCCAGTTATCATTTGGGATTCCAGCCAGAGTGGCTGCAAAACCAAGGAAGCCATGCTTGGAATCCTTGGCCGGCACAGCCAAAATCGTCCAACTAAGACCAACAATGTCCCCCAAGTCCATGGTGCGAACGGAGATGCCAAAGGAGTTCTGCATGGCAAAGTTGGAACATGCCATGGAACGTTGCAAGCAAACCATGGCAATCAGCACGAATCGCAAGAGGTGAACCATGGCCATCGATCCTAGCCGTCTTTTCCGAGTTCCAGGTGAACTCTTCGAGATTGACTCAAAATGCTGTTCGAGCCTGCCCGAGCACGAGCAGGGTGCCCGACATGGCCAAACTCAACAAATGCCTACAAGAAAGATCCCAACAGCCGGGTTTTTAGAGGAGTTGGATGTGCAAAAACCCTGCGATCCTTTCCTGCACTTCAATCTCCAAACGCCAATGACTTGCCTGGCAAGGTGCTGCGACACTGTCGGGCACCAACATGCTGCTGAGCTGCTTATGCTCCATGAGCTTCTCGAGGATCTCTCCACCATACACATTCTCCTTGAACAAGGCATCATCTCGACGAAACGCAAGCAAAACTGAGGGAAGCAGGCTAGGGTAGCTTGTCTGTTCATCTTGGGGTATACGGTATACTGTAAGATAAGATACTGTAAGTAGATAATTTGAATCCAAATAGAATTGGGTACAGTTCATAGATATTGACAAGGCAAGGTCTTCTTGGTCAACTCCAAAGGATTCAGAGGCTCCGTGTCCTTGCCAACGGTTCCTTCCCCTCCACCGGCAGATTTCACCAGCAAGCGGCAGGCATCTTCCTAACCCAACCGGCTGGAGTCGGAAGGAAATGACAAAGTATTGGAATGTATTGGATACTTCGGACAGGACGAATGAAAAACAAACCAGAAACCTTTACCTTGAATGGATTTAACATCGTACTTGCAGCGCATTCCTAGGCATCCCTTGGGCCCTTGCCACATCAGGTCGTTGCAATCTCCCATACATGATGGTACAAGTGCAGCGCCCGCCCAGGCTGTCCAATGGGCGCAAATTTAGAAAATTTTTTGATCGACTTCAATAAGATTCCCTAAAAATCTAGAAACCAAATCATTAGTGCGAGCGCTTCTTCAAGGAAGTTTCCTTGAAGAAGTGTGAGCTATCCTGCATCCTAAAAAGTAACTACCTGCTGGTAGTAGCAACCTCTTCTACTAGCTACCTCTAGCTACTACCTCCTAGCGGCCTAGCCCCTTTAAAAAAAAAATAAACACTTAGTTCCACCACAAAAAACAAGCTGGAACCCACAAATCCGAATGCAAACACGTACTCGAAAACACACACCGAAACAATTTTTGGCACTCTTGTAGGAGACACTTTTGTGGGACACTCCCGTAGGATACATTCTTTTCGGAAACCTTTGTGGGACACTCTTGTGTACTCTTGGGGGACACCTTGTATCACATTCACTCTTGTGGGACACTCTTGCGGAACACACTTGTAGGACACTCTTGTGGGACACTCTTGTAGGACACTCTTGTGGGACACTCTTGCTTGTCACTCTTGTGGAACACTCTGGTAGGACACTGTTGCGAAGCAATCTTGTAGGACACTCTTGTATGTCACTCTTGTGGGACACTCTCGTACCACACTCTTGCGGAACACACTTGTCACTTGTAGGACACTCTTGTGGGACACTCTTGTAGGACACTCTTGTGGGACACTCTTGCTTGTCACTCTTGTGGAACACTCTGGTAGGACACTGTTGCGAAACAGTCTTGTAGGATCTTGTAGGGCACTCTTGTATGTCACTCTTGTGGGACACTCTCGCAGAACACTCTGGTCTGACACTTCCAAAACGAGCGTTTCGTACGAGACTTCCTCCAAAAGTCACATGTCAAAGTCTTCAAAACGGGCATTTCGTACGAGACGTCCTCCAAAAGTCAAGCGGGAAGGCCCATCGGAGCACACACATCAAGCAGCCCTGCCAAGCAGTTTCGCGACTCCAGCCCTTCCAAGCAACGCCCGCTCACACACTAATCCCAATGTCACAGCGACACTCACCCTCCACCACAACTCGCAACCTCACGGTTCCCTGCGCCTACCACGAAAATTTACTTGTCCACACATCTAATACGCACAAAGTACTGCGCCTGCCCCGACATTTGACCTCCGCCAAAACTCGCAACCTCACGATTCCCTGCGCCTGCCACGGAGCTCGCACTTCCACACGTCAAAGCCCGCACAAACTACTGCGCCTGCCACGAAAAGTGACAATATCATATCATGTGAGCTTCAACCAAATTTGCACCACACCACACCTTTGGAGCGATTTCGGCACGTTCTGAGCACCCTCCCATCCACCAAAATCGCCGTTTCAGCTGAGACTTGTCACGAAAGCACAGCTTCGGTGTAACACCCTGAAACGCAAATCCCAATGTCACAGCCACACCCGACACCCCAAAAACGCCACTGTCCAAACGCCAATCCCAATGTGACTGCGCAGAAAACTGCGGATCTCACAAAACAGTGAAGTCGTCCTCCACACTTCAACATCTTACGTCTCCACACGTTTCCTCGCTACTTCACACGAATCTGACGCGTCGCGCTTCCATCACAAACCCTCTCCGATAGCTTCCCCCAATGGCAGCGCCTTAGCGCCCTACCGTGAACGGCTGCAAACGGTTGCGGACGGTTGACAACTGCGGCCGCTCAGACAACGAATCGCGAACAAGGCCCTACCCCCAGACCCCTAGAGTTAAACGAGAACCCTTCGCTACGCATTGGGAAAAATGACATCTTCAATTGGCCAAGCTTCGTCACTCATGGAATCATTTAAGGTTGGAGCCAAGGTGGCATATTGGGCCCGAAAGGATTTCCTCGGGCACAACAAGCGTAGAAGAGTCCCGTTCACATCGGCTTGTGCCGCAACATGCACCATCAAACATCAGTGTATATATGTGTATATGGAGTGCTGTGATCAGTGGTTCGGGTTGTACTGCCCTGGAGAGTTAGTGGACTCCATGAACCCTTCGTCTGTTTCCGTCATTGTCGAGGTTGACGATACACTTGAGATTGTCCAAGAAACCTTTGCCTTGCGTTACTACCTTTGGTCTGATTGTCGTCTTGAAGCCTTGAGCAATCATTTTGCAGTGTCTGTGTAGCTAGCTTGGCTTCACTTCTGCCCTGATTTCCTCGTCAAATGGCAGAATGCTGATGGCAGCTCTGCATTGTCCGCTGTCGGTGGAAGTGTCCCTATCTTCCAAGTCCTGCTGTTGTAAGCTCATACTGTCATACTAATTAGACTACACACCAGGGAGGTCCCGAGGGGATCAAACTTGAAGCACCAAGTATAACTAATTAATCATAGAAGAATGCAGTAACGATATGCATGTTGAGTAAACCCTTCCAGCCTGTACCGGGACGTGAGAGTGAGGACATCATCATCCGTTACAGTATCACACCAAACAGCGCACTCGGTGTCCGTTTCTAGATGCCAAAGGCCATGGTTCTTTGTTGCTTATGTCACATGTCTCTTTGCTGATGTTCATGGCTCATCATGCTTCAGGATTCATGATAGACTTCATTAAGTTTCATGAACACCCAGGGTTCTGAAGGCTTCTGATTCAAGAGGTCCGAAACACGTCCATCACTTCAGCCTGGCTGCAAAGGCCAAATAATGGAGTATCCACCTGACAAATGCACCGCGTCAGCCAGTCTCATCTTCTTCACCTGGCAAAAAAAAAAAAAAAAAAAACTGAAGCATCAAAGGTCGCTGGACACGCAACCTTTCTTTCCTCCTTGCAAGGATCTGTCACTCAGGCACACCTTGACCACAAAAGCAAGCCAAAACATTGCTGCCTGTTGACCGGAAAAACAAGCCAAACAAAACAACAGGAAACTCAAAAGTCTGTGGAGTCCTGCCTGCTGAAGCATCAACTGCCGGTTCCTAAGTCGAGGTCCGGTCCCGACCAGGTCCCACGGTCCGAGCCAGACGGGTTCCGTTTCGGACCAGGCAGCTTCCTGTCCGGACGCAGTGGAGACATTGCCATGAGTCATGAAAGACCATTTGATCAAGTGTATGGTGTGTATGCCTGTCCTTCCTTTTAAAACCATCTATATGATCTAATAGTTGTCCAATGTTGTCCATACTATGTGGCTTAGCCCGCTTAGTCCCTCTGAACGCCCAGCGGCATGCGATCGGCTTTCCCGAAGTCGTTGGGCCGTAAGCAGCACAGGAGCCAGGTCTTGGCCTCGTGGCGGGGAGTCAAAGCGGTGCCTTTTCGCGGGTGGCTTCATTGAGGGAAATGCTTGCTTGCTCCTGCCTGGTAAAAAGGAAGTTGAACGAAAATAGTCTGTGGAGATCATCCAGATCTTCCCTCAGATTCATCAGAGGCATCCTGATGGGAAGCAATGACAAAAGGTTCAAGTCACGGGATTTCGCTGCTGTCACTGGGGGACCTCCCAACCGATGGATTTAGTATGTTTTTGATATTGCCAGAGGTCTTTGGGGCTCTCCCTATTCTAATATACACTCAAATCACTCCAGTCAATTGGGCAAGTCTCTCAGCTTTAACAAACCCGTTGTCGGATGCCACAGTGGCTGGCCTCTCCACAAAAGCTCTCGTCCAGGAAGGTTAGAGCCTGCTGCACTGTGAAAACTTCTGGTTTTGCCCATTATGAAAGAAACATTTGATTGCTATCCAAGAAGATGAGAGGTTTTGGATCTGTGTTTGAGGATCTTTACTTGGAAGGCTAACTCACCTCCACAAACACCTTGCTTACTGCGGTTGTAGCAAAGCCACACAGGCTGCACACACACAAACACACACGACCTCGTGCCTTTTTCAATCAGCCTTCACAACCTCACAACCCATCTTCAGCAAGAATCAGCTTCGAAACTTACAGGAATGACCAAGCTTGGAGACCTAAATCAGCCACCAGAAGCCCATCCATCGTCCGCGTTTCCCTTCATCCATCTTCGCGAATTCGCGTCTTCGCGTTCGGGCTCCGTAGACTCCTGGGACTCCCGTCCTCTTTGGCTGCAGGGGTGCCAGAAAGGCCGTCAGCATGATCCACGATCTCTCGCCAGAACTTGCCTCTCAGGACCGTTCGTTGTCAATGGTCAGCGTTCTTGGACAAGAGATGCGCAGAAGAGTCAACTCCATCTCGTGATCATGTCGGGCGCTTCTTAATACTTCAGGCAGACAAAAGTTTACGCTTGTTAGCCTTCTTACAAAACACTCTGAGGTCAGCGGCGGATCGAATTAACAAGTCTAATTTTCGTGGCAGGTGTGGGACGGTCAATATCACACCCTTTAAAATTTATAGTAATAAAAGGCTTTCCGGGGTGACAAATGACCGCCCACACCTTGCCTTGTCTCATGGTGTAGGATTCTAGGGGGATAGGGTTGTCATGAGTTTCAACATCAACAAGCGCAACTTTCATCTGGCCAGTGTAGTAGTCTAAAATAGTCTATATAAACATGTCTAAACAATGGCAATGGGGGGCACCAGTTGAATGCGGCAAACTAACAGTAAGACTTGGTAAGCGGGGCATGACATGCAGCACTGCAATAGGCTTTGCCAAGGAGCAGCTGGACTGTTTCAGGACTTGCAGAATTTCCGGAGGTGTCTGGGCGTTGGCAGCCGCAAGGAAACCTGCGGGTCTCTGACTTTAAGAGTGTGCAGCAGTTGTAGGAGGTAGCATTGCCTAATTCCCTTAGCATCCCTAGTCCAAGATTGACGTTCTACAGACTGTCAGGCTTCACCCGACTTGTCGACTTGCTCGTCTATCATCATCTTTCCACCTTCTACATCCAAGAAAGCAGTACGCCCCAAGTCTCCCACACCACCAACCGACCTTTGGTCAGAAGATGCTTCACATCTCCACAGGCCCCACCTCTTTCGGCGGCAGGCGGTACAAAGCTACTCTTCATGGTGGAAGAGGTGAACCAGTTTCCCCAAAGCATTTCTTGCGCTTGCGAAGCTCACCCACACTGAGCTGGGCAAAATGGTTTCATCGCCCCCGGTTTCCCCTGCAACCAAAAGGATATGACATTAACTTAACGAATACATCCCCCCTTCCCAGGTAGTTCTTTGATAGATTTAAGAACCGCCTGACCTCCGAAACGTCGCCAGGTATGTGATGTTCTTGGGTCAGAAGACGGTCCAGGCGGGAGCATGATGTGCTTGTGCCGTGTCTCGTATTGCACAAAAGGTCCAACACGCAACTTCATGGGTTTGGACATAGTCGATTCAATGCTCGTTCTAATTACATCCTATGATATCCTATGGTCGGTGTTCCCCTCTACTGTGTCATGTGCATTGGCCTCCAAAGCGATTCGCTCAAAAATAAATAGATGACGCGTTACACATGTCCAAGCCACTGATAGTCGCTGCCTCTCCCTCGACATGAAGCAGATCTTCAGCTTGACTTTTGGCCTGGCATGGCAAGCAGTTGGTGGCTCGCCGGAGGATCGGAAACAGTCTGGGAGAGGTAAGATAGAAGACAAACAACGCTAATTGAATATCTACTTCCTTCAGGCATGACTTCAAAGTTCCATGCACGGGACTTCATACAGGATTGCTTGGCATTTGCAAGGGTACTTCACCCGGGCAACTTGTTGGGATAGAAACTAGAAGCGTGTTTTGGATTCAGAGATCCAGCAAAACGCAACAGAAGTGACACGGTCACTGCAACGGCCTGGGAAGCTCAGACAACAGATACTCTCTTCTCACTTCGACCTTTATTGTAACATGTAACTGTATAACCATATGGCACTTCTTCATACTTCGCCAATGCCCGCTACAGCTTTTGTTTGTGAACTCCCTCCGGTCCAAGGCCCGCCTTGGCCCAAGCCTGTGCTCCAGCCACCTGGAGTCGGAGGCCCCGTCTATTTTCACCCCTCGAAGGATCGGCCGATCCTCAAAGGCAAAGTGGTGCTAAACCCTGGTCCTATACAGGTATAGGCTGGTATAGGATACAAATGGTTTGTCTTTTTTTTTTCGGAGGCCTATCTTCCACCGAACCATGATTTATCTGAGGGTAACTCCTTCCACCGGTACCACATGATTCCTTATCTGTCAAGTTGCATTGAACCCGGCGTCAAAGCTGTGTTTCTTTCACAAAGGACTCCACTTTTTTCACCACCTCGTCAGCCGAGATACGTCTTTGCCTTGAATGGCATCCATCAATTCTTCGCATAGTTCCTCTGCATAACGTGCCTGAAAGGCTAGGCCAGGCCCTTTGATACATAAAACAGACATTGTTTTAAAAAATGGGAAAGGTCCATGTGTAGGTTGTTTCTTGTGCCTTATTTGACACCCTGATCAAGCATACTGTAATTCTGATATCTTCGGCATGGGTCCCCGAGCCTGCTGGTATGACTCATCACGCAGGTCACCTGCAATGCAAATAGGGCGTATATTGAAACGATCGCCAAAAACCAGAAAAACGCCTTCATACAATATGCCAGGTATGCCAGGTAGAGAGAATGAAAAACAAAGAAACTCAGCCATATCAAAAAAGACTCCACCGGCATCACAAAGAAAAAAGAAATGGATCAGAACATATTCCCAGTGCACTTTCGTGACAGGCACGGCGTCTTGTGAACCGTCATGTGCAGATTTCGGAGCACTTGGCAGTGGCAGGGGCAGCTTAGTGAACCTCAATGTGCAGATTTCGTGGCAGGCGCAGCACTTTGTGCATCTGCGTCTTGAATTGCAGATTTCGTGTCAAGCAAAGTATTTGGTGTATGCAGGCTCCTGTCAGGTGCAGACTTTAGCGAATCTAAAATTGCAGATTTCGTGTAGAGGTACATGTTTGGTGCATGCACGCTCTCGTGTGTGCTCTCATACGTGTGCTATCATACTGTTGATATGAAAGGGCTTGTGTGTGTGCTCTCATATATACGTGTGTGTGCTGCCCCTTTTCTTGTTTCCTTTTTCTTGTCTTAGCTTTTCATGTCAGCACACTGAGAGCGCAATACAGGTGACGAAGGAGGCAAGCAACGAACCAGAAAGGTACAGGCAATACAGTCAGCATTGAAAGAACATGTTAATTATATTGCAGCAGGCATAAAGTGGGGTGACCTTTACAAATCCGCTTTTGTGACAGGCGTGATGCGTTGGAAGAAGTAAGTAGTGCAGATTTGGCGCGGAAAGAGGAGAGTTCGGGGACCTCCGTCGAGAGTGAACTACACACCTGTTCAGTTTTGCTGCGTGTATATGGTGGGTTAGACTTAGACCTCCAAAGATTCCGGTTTTTCGTGGTGGGCGCGATGCTCTGGAAAAAGTAGTGCAAATTTCCGTGCTGGAGGGCTGTGGGGAGGGCGCAACACCTCCCTCAGTCAGAGCAAAGCAAAAGACACAAGTCAATTTGTGGTCGCAATCCAAGCGTTGCCATTGTTTTGTTGGAACTCACACAATAAGCATCGTTCATTGCGCAACTCTCGCGCTTTTTCGCAGAACGCCCGAATCACCTCAAAACCATTGGTTCATGCCCATGGAATACACTTGAAGGAGCAAGATCAAGAAGCCGAGAAGTAAAAATGACCACCGGACCAGCGGAACAGGACGACCAAAGCACCAGTGGACCAAACCAAGCGCCAGCAAACTAGAACACCAGTGGACAGGCAGACTAGAACTAGGGGATGACCACTGGAACCAGCCGACCAGGTGTTTTTTTGGCTCCTGAGTTTTTCCTTTCGCCCTGTTCCAATTCTAATTGTTTGATCCTCCAAATCCAGGGACTGCCCCGATCCAAAAGTTGAAGTGCACGTCTCCACAGCTAATCCCCTTCTGGAGAACTGTCATAAGTAATGGTTCCTCTGTATGTTCTTCTTGAAAAATTGCCCAAGTGAAACTATATGGCTGTGGCGTGAGCCTCCCTTGAACAATCTCGGAAACAAAATTCCTGGGCCCTGGCCTGTCTCGTCGGATTTACAGGCATGTAGCAAACGGCTGTAGCATGCCTGCACATGCAAAGCTTGTACACAATAATAAATGTAGGTGAACAAGGAAGGAATTAGGGGATGGGTGACATTGGTGAATATTAGATCTTCCAATACAATGAAACCAAATGGTCCGTAGACATCATGCAGCTGAATTGACCTTTGCTGACATGTTTGAGCGATTTTCATCCGCGGTGCAGCTGTCAACAGCTCCGAAACGCACCACAGACAGAGCTCTAAAGACGAAGCTGTTCAGGTGTGGTTTCGGACCCCCAATCCATGAACATCCATGGACCGTCGACACCTCGGACAGGCTCTGCAGCAGCAGGCTGTGAAAGCCAGTGACTGTGGGATCCTTGGAAGGAAGCTCGATGATCTTCATGCTTTGGCTGATGGCCTGGCAGAATCATGCAGGAGCATGCAGGATTTGTCAGGATCGGAATGTCGGAGTCTATCTGAGTTTGCTGGAAAGGTTTGCGGTTAGAACTTTACCTCTTTTTTGCTGGAGTGCTCATCAAGGTTTTGTCGCAAGCCAAATATCACCATTAAACCGCGAGCGTGGTGTCCTCGTCACGTGACGCGGCGTACAGCCTTGGAGTCGCCCTGCAAATGTGCATTCATCAAACGCAGAACCAGATCGGTCACGCGCCGATAAAGACCCTCCAAGGCCTGAGGATCTTGGCAAGTTCTGGACCCAGAAGACGTTCTGCCTTTTTGTTGTTGGTAAAGGACAGGAATGAAAGGTGCCTTCTACACATAACCCAATTGAAAAATGTCTGTCTAGCTGCATCTCGTTGTGGGGCCAAAGCAAACACACCGCTTGGCACCATTCCAACTAACATCATGTTCGTGTCTTTGATGGCCCAGTGACAGCATCTCGTCTTTGTATTGCTTGCTGAGCATCTTGAACACCTCGGCAGAATGTAATAAGTGAGCGAACCTACGGAATGCTGGATAGATACCAATCAATTCCAACAAATCTCTTTTCGGTCAAACCCTTGACCCCAAAATTGGGTCCTAGCTGACCTATACACAACAATCCACAGAACGCACAGAACCTACGTTTTCTCGATTGACAACAATCCAAAGGGAGTTGTCTCTGGAAGGTGGGTCGACTCCAAGTCTCACCTCAAAATCCAAGGAGCCGCTCAACAAGGCTCCCAGCAGCGCGCCAGAATTCACGCCCAAAGCATTGGCCGCAGCGTCCAAGGACCCTGCGATCATCTGCGATCCACGAATCGAGCGGCTTGGCTTAGCAACAACTCCGACATCGGACCGTCTCCCGCCCATATGGTCACTCGAAGCCTGGAAAAACAATTTTCTCTACGAAATGGTCCACGTCCACATTTGTTGGCGGGAGGTTTTCCTTCGGATGCGGCTCAGAAAGGATCCCTGGAGCAGTGTGGTCAGGGACTCTCATGTTTTCGTGTAGTCAGGTTTGAGAGTATCTCTCTGCCGTAGCCATTCTACGATCTTGCAGTGCTTTAACGACCAACATCATCCTAATACAATATGATACAATTCCTGACGTCAACTGTGAAGTCCGCTCCATTACCACAGGGCTTAGGTTTTTCAAGGTTCGAAAGAGCCATTAATATCGCCCAGAACAATGGCCCCACACTCAGAACAGAGTCACGTTCGCGGAGTCGCTTCAGAGATCATCGTCTGTTCCTGTAGCGCCTGCCTTGCGACTCGCACTGCAGATCGTCCGTAAAGCCCAGCTCTCCCAGAAGTATCAGACCTCATGATGGGAGAGCAATGGACCCCTCGTCCTTGTGCGTAGGGACACCACGACAAATCGTTGTGTAGCGGACAAATAGCAGTGAGACTTGGGATGTTGGTCGGTGGAAGAGCTTTGATGTGATTCTGGCGGTCCATGTTTTTTTCATTTTGGCTGGAGGCCATTGCTAATAGTAACAGTAAATCAAAAGAATTTTGTGTAATCGAAGGAGCAAGGACGCTACTAGGCGCTCCTGGCCTTACTACTAGGAGCAAGGACGCTACTAGGGGCCCTGGCCTTACTACTAGGAACAAAAACGCTACTAGCGGCTCCTGGCCTTGCTACTAGGAGCAAGGACGCTTCTAGGAACAAAGGGCATCGCTACTAGGAACAAGAACACTACTAGGGGCTCATGGCCTTACTACTAGGAACAAGAACGCTACTAGGGGCTCCTGGCCTT